TGACTTCAGAAAATGGCTCAGGCTGTCAGCAGCGGAAGGCCGGGTTTGGCGGCGCTGCAGCGCGCCCACACCTTGCAGCCGTGCGCTGCTGGCGCTGCCACTCGGTCCAGGCTGGCATCATGTGCTAGACGCAGCAGCAGCAGGCGGCAGGCAAGGTTGTTCTGTGCTGCTGTCGCTGAAGCCATTCGCCCCGAGGAAACGCTCACCCCCGCCCGTCTCGTGGCGCCAGGCCAGTCACAGGAGCAGGTGGGGGGCCTCTATGCATTGGGCAGCAGTCGGCAAGCTGGGTTTGGGAGCCCGTCAGGCGCGGGTAGGGCGGGCGGCACCCGAAGCCAGCCACTGTGCTGTCTTGCAATCTGATTACCCACCTTTTTCTACCCTGGCTGCGCTCTCGTGGGTTGCAGGTCACGGTAGTGTACAAGGTGGGAAGGTTTGGGCGCTGCAGCAGCCCAACGCTGCCCGGGCCAGCTCGGCACACACATGTTTGCCGCACGTCGTTCGTGGCCGCCCCCCCACCACCCCACCACCCCACCCCACCCCACCCCACCCACCTGTTCCACCCCTGCAGTTTGGCGGCTCCTCTGTGGCCACTGCGGAGCGCATGAAGGAGGTGGCTGACATCATCTGCTCCTTCCCGCACCACCTGCCCTGCGTTGTGCTATCCGCAATGGGCAAGGTGCGGCACAGGGCAAGGAGGCTGGCGTTTGTTGCGTGGGTTGTGTATGCATCGTGTAGCTGCCAGCCTGGCAGTGCTGGCAGCCTGTGCACCCAAGAGGGACTTATGCGCGGCTTGGGGCGCTCAAGTCCTCGGTGGGGCTCGGGTTGGGTGGGTACCGTGCACAACGCACGAGGGAGTTGCAGACGACCTTGCATCTGGCGCTATGCAGACCACCAACCTGCTGCTGCAAGCTGGCGACGAGGCACTGCGCACCCCCGCCGGAAACATTGCAAACCTGGCGCCGCTCAAGTGAGTGGGTGCTGGTTGACAAGAGGGGCCAGGGGGGCGTTGGTCGGCAGTGTGCCTGCCCAAAGCCCACATGCCACCATCACGACAGACGCATGCAAGCACGCACGTCCTTGCTCTGGTGCCTGGCTGGCCTGCAGCGCCATCAAGGATTTGCACCGCGCTGCCGCCGAGGAGCTGGGGGTGGATGCGGAGACGCGGGAGGAGGTGGAGATGCTGCTGACGCAGCTGCAGCAGCTGCTGGTGGGCATCTCCATCATGCAGGTGGGTGCCAGCAAGTGGGGGCTGTGTAGGGCCGGGTGCCAGCAGGCTGGCTGCCGTTCTGAGTGCAAGGGATGCCAGTCTAGCACAGCGCAGCGCTGCTGGGTGAAGCTTGGTGCTGCGCTGCGCTCCGACTGTCGTGCAACCTTTGCCCACTGGCCTCCCAGCACCTGCGTCCACACTCCCGCAGGACCTGACGCCCCGCGCCAAGGACTCTCTGGTCTCCTTTGGCGAGCGCCTATCCACCCGTCTCTTTGCTGCCTACCTCAACGCCCAGGGCGTGGCGGCGCGGCAGTACGATGCCTTTGACCTGGGCGTCATCACCAACGACAACTTTGTCAATGCAGAGGTGGGTCGATGCAAGCCACAGGGGTGGGTGCTGCCTCATCTGCTTGCGTCACAGTGCCTGCTCGTCTGCGCGTGCCACTTGGGCTCACCGCCTGCCACCCTTGGCCAGCGCAGGTCAACTATGAGCTGACGCTGCCGGCGGTGCGGGAGAGCCTCACGTTCAAGCCCGGACAGCGGCGCCACCTGCCCATCGTCACCGGGTTCCTGGGTCGCGGCCTGCAGACGGGCGCCATCACCACGCTGGGCCGCGGCGGCAGCGACCTCACATGCACGCTGCTGGGCGGCGCGCTGGGGCTGCCAGAGGTGCAGGTGCGTTCCAGCCGCTGCTCCCTGCCTCCTCTTCTCCTCAACCACCAACGCCGCTGCTCTCTGCCCAGCCTGCCTCCCCCACCACACACACACACACACACACACACACACACACACACACACCACCTTCCCTTGTGCCCTGTACCGCCCCGCAGGTGTGGAAGGATGTGGATGGCGTGCTGACGGCGGACCCGCGCGTGGTGGACAGCGCGCGGCCTGTGTCGGAGCTGACGTTTGAGGAGGCCACGGAGCTGGCCTTCTTTGGTGCCACAGTGTTGCACCCGCTGGCCATGCAGCCCGCGCACGAGTGCAACGTGGGGGTGCGCGTGAAGAACAGCTACAACAGGTGCGGTGCTGCAGGGCGGCGTTGGGCGACGCCACTGCAGCAAGCACGTCTGCCTGCCGGGACGCACGGCCTCGCTCAGTGAGGAATTCCCTTGGCGGCTGCCTCCACCCTTGCCCCCTGCTCCCTCCCTGCCCCCCGCAAACCTTCAAGCAGGCAGGCGCCCGGCACGCTGATCAGCGAGGTGCGCGACATGAGTACCAGCCTGATGACGAGCATCGTGATGAAGTCCAACGTGACACTGGTGGATGTGGTGTCCACGCGCATGATGGGGCAGTTTGGCTTCCTGGCGAAGGTGTTCAAGGTGTTCAGCGACAACAAGATCTCGGTGGATGTGGTGGCCACCAGCGAGGTCTCCATCTCCCTCACACTCGACCCAGCCAAGTGCGTGCTGCGGCCTGGAGGGGCGGGGCTGCTGCTGGGCAGGCGTGCATGCTGCGATGCCGCGCCATCTCTCACCCCTCTGTCCGTCCTGTGCCCGTGCTGCCGCAGGATCTGGGAGCGCGACCTGATTGCGGAGGAACTAGAGGGCCTGATGCAGGACTTTGAGGGCGTCGCCAAGGCGCACTACCGCCGTGGCATGGCCATCATCTCCCTCATCTGCAACGTGCAGCGCACCAGCCAGATCCTCGAGCGCACCTTCCGCGTGCTCAACCGCGAGAACATCCGTGTGCAGATGATGAGCCAGGGCGCCAGCAAGACCAACATCGCGCTGATTGTGGAGGACAGCGAGGCCAAGCATGCGCTCAGGGTGCTGCATGACGAGTTCTTCGGCAGCGGCAGCAGCTAGGCTTGTCTGGTGCTCTGGCTGGGGTTGCAGGCGTCGGTTCCGGACCCCCACTCGCAGCCATACCATTATTGTGGTGGGCCTCGCCAAACGAATGTCCCTGCGATTTCCCCGTGCCGCTGCCCTCCACACCTTTCCTCTGTCGCTTACCCGGTTTAGAGCGATCTGCTAGCTGCCTGCCGCTTAGACCACCCCCGTCCCTTGTCTGTAGCTGTCCCATCATGTTTGCTGCTCTTCATGCTTCCGATGCCAATGCATCCCGTGATTATTTGAACTGCCTGTTTTTCAAACCCCACTGACTTGACCGGCGCCGTTACCTAGCTCTACCTGCTGAGAACTGGCAGTCTTTTACAGGAACTTGCAGGGCCACATACACTCTGTAAACAGCAGCAACGCAAGTTCAGTCACTCTGCCTCTGCTGATCACCTGCCAGCCCCTCCTGGGTAGTAGCTGTCTTGATGGGCTGCCCTGCCGCGCTGTCATTACCGTGGCTGCTATGGTTTCCTCTGGTGCTGCCTTCTTCAGCAACAGCTTGCAGGTAGCTACGGAGGTTCTGCAGGTACAAAGGCTGCAGCACCGCCCGCGCAGGGCAGCTGCTTCAGTGAGATGCAAGCAGCAGGCAGACAGCACAGCAAGGCAACCTGGATGTGCTCCCTGGAGTACCTCCATGTGATTGTCCAGTGAAGAGCCATCCAGCAGCATTGACCATGCATCCAGCTCCTGCTGCCAGAACTCCGACAGGCGCTCTGGCGTGACGCCAGCCTCCGCAGGTGGGGAGTCCATGCTTCCGCCGCTGCCGCTGCTGCCGCCTACACTCGCAGCTGCTGCTGCAGCAACCTCCTCATTCCCTGTGGATGCGATCTCAATGCCCACGTTGGTCAGCACCTCTGTGACTGCTGTGGGCAGCAGCTCGGGAACCTGCGCCGTGGCAGACAGCATGTGTTGCATGGCATCGCAATGAGCAGCTGACAGCACGAGGAGGAAAGCCCACCTTGGCCGCCACAGTCGCCTGTAGCACACCGCCAACAGCTGGTGCCACATCTGGCAGGAAGATGCCCTCCCCTAGCTTCTCCGTGCTGTTCATCTCCACCTCCACCTGCCCATCTCTCAGATGCACGGCATGCCCCACGTGCGCGTAGCCCATCAGTCTTGGAATCGTACTCACGGTATCATTGGCATTCACCTACATTACATGGCCAGGTTGAGGGCCCACATGTACCTTCTTGATGTTGAAAATTGCATGAATCCACAAAACCGCAGGCACTGGAACACTCACAATACGCCATGTGTGGGGCAGGCGTCGGTTGTAGTCCAGTGCGAAGGCTCTGTTGCCCACCCTGGGGCTTCCAAAAGAATACACAACCAAATCAACCTCACATGGCCATCTGCAGGGATCAAGTCTGCGGCACCGTAAACACGCAGTCAAGCGCTTTTTGGATAGTCGGCCGCAACTCGCCGTCTGTGAGAGGCGTCCCAGGCACATAGCGTGGCCAGCGCGCCCCCCAGGGAATGCCCCGTCAAGTATAGCCTCCACTGGCCATCCTCCCCATGAAGCATGTCTGCCAGCAAGGAAAGGATGGCAGGCCTCACGCCATCGTAAGCCGTCAGAAACCCACTATGCACCTGCTTTGGGCAAGGGGCACACAACCAGACCACAGATTACGGCACATGTCTGTGTGCTGCCCGGCACAGCCCCGTAGCCTCTGGCTGTCTATTCTCACTCACCCATGGCTGGTCTGTGTCGGCCGTCTCAGCCCCAGCCTCCAGCTCCTGCTGCACATGGGCTAGGACCGCCGTGAGCTCCTGTGCTGTGCTGCGCACCGCGCTCATCGCCGCAGCGACAATGTGATCCGGTTCCTCTTCCTGCAGGCATGCAGAGGCTTAGCAGCAGCAACCCAAGACATTCCCAATTCAACCAAACGCGATGCCCATACAGTACCTGCCCCTCCTTTCCTTGCCGCTGCTTGGCCTGCTCAACGGCTGATAGAATCTGGCGCAAGCGGCCCGGCTCATCTGGACTCTGTGACACCTCGGCTAGCGCTGCATTTCTGGGTGCAGCCGCCACGCTTTCCGGATCCAGCGGCGCTGGCACAAGGTGAAGGTCAGTCAGAATGTCTTGCCACTTGCCCTGCTCCGTGCCACGAAAAGCCACGCATGCCATGCGCTCGACGCGGTTCCAGTACACCCATGCCTGCAGCAAGTGTGCCCAGCACGGTGTTTGGATGGCTTTGTACTTGGAACACAGTAAAAAAAGCACCAAAAGCAAGAATCACTTGAGTATTGGTCGCTGAGTCCTCCACAAATGCAATAGGCGTGAGCACATTGGGCGCGATGCCTGCCAACTCGAGCAGCTCCTGCCAGTCAGCAGCCAGCGGAATCTGCAGCACGCACACGTGCTGACACCGTTGGAGAGCTGGAGAGCTCTTGATGGGATGCCGCCACGGCCTCACCTGCCCAGGTGTACCCACCACGGATCCCCCCATCTCAAAGTTGGCGGCATCCTGTGCCAGCACATCCGAAAATGGCAGGAAGCGGCAGGTGAGGTGCACCGTTGCCCTGCCATTGCTGCTGTTGGCAGCGCTGCCTCCCCTCAGCTCCAACGCAAGCTCGTGCTGTTGCCCATCGCAGATTCCCTGCAGGTCGTGGACTGCTGATCCAAGATGCTGTTCCCCGGTGCTCCAACGCTCGCTTTCCATCACACGAACCGTCAGCCATTGCCGTTGGATGTCCCTGCATTGCGCCAGGCTGCACGTTCCTGGGGTGCAGCAGTACGACAGTTCACACATGCAGGGCAGGACGGGGCTGGTGGGCTGCGCCATGATGTGCCTGGCTTCACCTCACAAACATATTGCAGCTGGTGTCCTCCTGCGGGGTACATTCGCAGATGCTGTTCCCAACCGAAAATGTCAGCCTGCATTCCTTCAAAGCGATCCATGACGTGTCCTCTGCTGCCGGGATGTTGCTGCTGGCTTTATAGGCCAGCTGTAACAGCCCAGCCAGCTTCTCACGCAGGAAGGCTCTGCAGCAACAAAATGCACTCAAATTAGGCCCAGCCTGAATGCTGCTTTAGAGCGCCGCCGATACCTGTCAACATAGAAAATGCTTGTGCCATCTTGAAGACACTCAGGTATCCCTTTTTTGCTAAGCTCATTGTATGCTTCAAAAGAGAGAGTAGCTAGGACGACTCCGACTGTCCAGTTCAATGTGGGTTGCGGCGAGCTGGGGCTGCTTTGCTGCCCAGCGGAAGCCGCCGCGGCTGCCGGTGCGCAGCCGTGCCGCTGGCGTGCACATCTCTCCTGCTGGCTACGCGGCGGCACCCAGCAGCCGCAGTAGCCTGCCGCTGCCGCCCTGGCCCTGCCCACTGCTGGGCGTAGCATGGCCCGGGATGCCGGCACCAGGGCCATTGTGGTGGCCACCATCATCCAGGATTACGCAATGGCTGTTTCGGAGCTAATGTCTGGACCTGGAGAGAGATCCAAGGCGTTCGGGAACAGGAAACACATTCTACACACGCCAGGCTGTACAGCTTAGGTACAAGGGAGTGAGATCTGGGTGCTTGCTTGCTTGCTTGTGTGGGCTTACAGTCTGGTTTCAGCAAGAACAAGCTTGCAGCACAGACTTTGTTGTTCGAGCAAGGAGGGATGAAGCAGTAGAACAACAGGCAGGACAGGCCAACTGACAGGTCACCGAGCGTTTAGTGTGTGAGCGGGCAGACAGTACTGCATATCGTGGAGCAGGTGTGGTGCGGTAAGAGCAAAGGGGCTGGACATGAGAGTGGGGGTTCAGGGCGGGACTGCAGGCAGCGCAACGGTGGCGGTCAGCCAGCGCTGGTGACAGGCGGCAGCAAAGGCGGCGAGGCAGCACGGTTTCTGGCGGAGGAAGCGGTGGGGAGGATGGGGCTCAGCAAACAGGTCAGGAAAGTTGAGGCGCAGCGGGGCGTAAAGGGGGCAGGTGAGCAGCATGTGGGGGGCATCTTCAATGCCGTCGTGGCAGTGGGGGCAGACTCGCTGCTCTCGGGGGCGCCGCGTCCAGCGGCCGGTCTCTTCCGCGCCCCAATGCGACCCGGTGCGCAGCTGCGCCAGCGCCTCGCGGTCCTGCCGACGCCGTACTGCATCCAGGTAGGTCTCGCGCTGCCCAAACATGGCGGGCGCCAGGTTGAGGGCGCCCACCACGTTGTGCACATAGTGCTCCAGCCGGCAGGCGCCGCCCTTCGCCAGCGCCTCCTGGAGCTGCGCCAGCTGGCGGCGCTGCGCAGCTTCCCCCAGCTCGCCGAGGTCAACAGGTGCTGGCTGCTGCAGGTCCAGCTGCATGCCGACCGCTGCGAGACCGGCCGCCAGCTGGGCAGCCCAGGACTGCTGTGCCAGGGGGTGGGCGCCATCTGCGAGCTGCACGCTGGACAACAGCGCTTGCTGCAACAGGCTGCCGGGACGCTCCTCCAGCGTCTTGTTCCAGAGTTTGGCTGCCCGCCGCAGCCAGCGCTGCCACAGCGGGCGCTCGCCAGTCTCCGCAAGGAGGGCCGCATTGGGGGTGCTCTGCCGGACCCCCAGCAGGTGGCGTAGGTAGCTGAGCTGCAGCTTCTCGGCCGCGCTGCCGGCACTGCCACGATGGCAGCACGCCGCTTTGGCCGCCAGCTGCACGCCCCACACCTCAGCACCATGGGGCAGCACCGAGTCCACCATGGTGCCGAAAAGCCGCAGCTGAACGGGCGCCGCCTCGATGCCCACCTCTGCGCAGCGGGTCCGGCAGTTGTGCATAGCCAGGCGCGCCAGCTGTGCCCGGGCTGGCGCTGCTGCCCCTGCCAGGCAGGTGCTGGAGTGAAAGGCGATGCCGAGATACTTGAAGCTGGTGACTGCCGCCAGCTGCTGGCCGGCGAAGGTGAGGCCTGCTGCCTCTGCTGTCTGCTGCGCCGCGTGCTGGGTCCGCCGCCCACTGAGCAGCATGAGCTTGGTCTTGTCGATGTTGACAGTGAGGCCCCACTGCCGGCAGTACTGCTGTAGCAGGTTTAGCTGCCGCTGCAGCCCGGACGCTGAGGTGGCCAGCAGGACCATGTCGTCGGCGTACAGCAGCGGCGGCACCGCGGCGCCGCCGCTGCCGAGGAAGCTGGGGAGGTCGAGCTGCTCGCCACGCCGCGCCGCCGCCATCAGCTCCTCCTCCAGGTCGTCCAGGTGCTCAAACCCCTGCCTACGGCTGCCTGTGCCCTTCAAGTACTTGTTACATTCGGCTCCCAATGTCTCACAATTACAATTAGCAACTTGTGCATATTGCCTGTGAAATGAAAGAGTTACAAAAGCACACGCGCTAATAAACCGACATCAATGTGAAAGTGGTCACCCACAGCAACTGCATCGACACAGGGAACGCAGCAGAAGGTAGAGTCAGGTAGAGTGCAGGCCCATGTAACCCATGGCAACACACCCTCCTGCGACACGCAGCTCCACGCTCACCACAAAAAAGGATACGCTAGGCGCAAAGCCCTCAAAGGTCAGCGGGCTCTGCGAGATCTTATCGGGATCCTCCCACTCCGTCTCATCAATCCTGCAATGCAATTGCTATGAGGGAGGACATCTCGCTGGTGCGGCAGCTTTTCATCCCGCGGTGCCATGGCGACGCAGTTTGCAGCAAAGAAAGCTATTGCCCGCTGTACAGCGCAGGCGGCACATGCATCACCGCAGGGTTATTTCTGCTGCCACGCTCACCCCTGCCATTTGAGCCATGCGTTGCCGACAAAGGCATTGACACCCATGAAACTGCGGGGCAGATGGTGTGGAGGTGGCAGATGAGCAAGCCAGGCAGCAGATGAGCAAACACTCGATTCATCTTGAGGACCCACCGGCCAAGATGCAAACACCAGGTACAGGGAAGCGGCAGCGGCAGGAAGGAGCTGCATGCCACTCCCCGACTCACGAGAGGAAGACCATGAGGCCTTGCGCGCCAATGGTGCCATACAGTGCGCCCATCGCTATTGCCAGCACGACGCGCAGGAAGAAGACGCAGTCGTAAAGGTCGTGCTTGTTCCAGTTCTGCGGCGGCGGGGTCACCGCCCGCACCAAGAGCACCGCCAGCCGCATGGTGGCGTCAGGCTGCCGCTGCTGCAGGCCTCAGGCGCCCTGGATTCCGAGGGCTCTCTTGCCCCTCGTCAAACTCCGCAGGCGGCGGTGCGAGGTGATGGGCAGCAGGCAGCGCTGTGAGCTCGCCCTGCCGCTGAAACACGAGTGGGCATATCAGAGGCGCCCAGGCATCACGCTCGCAGAGGACGGCCTCGCCCTGCAGGTTGTACAGCGTCACGTACCGCAAATCCCGACAGGCTCTGCGCGATGCGAGCCAGCCGTGTGCGCTTGCCCCGCTAGAGACTGCTTGCAGCGCCCCACGGGCCTGGCGTTGCAAGCCTTTGGCCGGTCGGCTTTTGTCTCTCGGGCGCTACGCTGCCCTTGTGGGGCTTGTGGGAGCCATGGGAATCGCGGGGCTCCTGCCACAGCTGCGCAGCATCACCAAAAAGGCCCACGTCTCCAAGTACCGCGGACAAACAGGTGCCGCCAGCTGCTTTCACGCCTGGGTGCTGCCTCTATCCAAGTGCCTGCCGGCTGCCCACCTGCCCATCCTGCTCCCATTGAAACCCACCAGCACCAGCCTCCTGCTGCCCACTCTTCCCACCGCCTGCAGTGGCGGTCGATGCCTACTGCCTGCTGCACCGTGGAGCATACACCTGCTCTCGCGAGCTGGTGGAAGGCGAGCCTACCTCCCGCCACGTGGCCTACTGCATGGCCCGCATTGAGCTGCTGTTGGGGGCGGGCGTGACGCCGCTGGTGGTCTTCGACGGTGGCCGCCTGCCCAACAAGGCGGACGAGGAGCGGAGCCGTGAACGCAACCGTGAGGAGAACAAGTCACGTGCACGTCAGCTGTGGCAGCAGGGCAACAAGGCGGCGGCTATGGAATGCTACCAGAAGGCCGTGGACATCTCACCCTCCCATGCAAAGCAGTTTGTGGAGGTGGGTGCTGCGGGCTGGTGTCGGCAAGGGACATGGTTGGAAGCAATGGTGCTGATTTGCGGCCAGGCACTAGCACGTGTTGATGATGGGTATGGTCATCTCCTCCCCGTCAACCCTGTCTGCAGGCGCTGAAGCGGCGCAGTATCAAATACGTGGTGGCACCGTATGAAGCAGACGCGCAGATGGCCTACCTTGCAGTCAATGGTTATGTTGATGTGGTGCTGACTGAAGATTCGGACCTGCTATGTTATGGCTGTCCCACGGTGAGCAAGGCGCCCTGGTCCAGCTTTGTGTGTGGTGCGTGTGTGTGTTGGAGGTGGGGGGTGAGGGCAGGTCGTTAATCTTCGACTGCTTGCCCAGCAGTGGGGGTCATAGCAGCGACTGTGTACAACTACGGCGCGGGGGCGCTCCTGCCCACAAGTGGATCACAAGTGCATGCTGCATGTTGCAGGTCTTCTTCAAGATGGACAAGAATGGGGAGGGGGAGGAGGTGCAGCTGGAGGACCTTCCGCAATGCAAGGACCTGGCTTTCCAAGGCTTTGGGCACGACCTGTTTCAGGAGGTGGGTTGGGGGCGGTGCATGCGTTGGCCAACACCAGATGCCACAGATTTGATGGCGCTGCTCCAATGCTGCCGCTACCGCAGATGTGTGTGCTTGCTGGCTGCGATTTTGTGAGCTCCCTGCCAGGCATCGGCATCAAGAAGGCGCACCAGCATCTGCGTCGGACCCGCTGCTTCCTCAAGGTATGCAGACTGCCTCTTCTTGCTGTGTTTGCCTGCAGCGTGCTCTCGTGGACGCTGTCCATCGATTGCTTTGAAATCTTTGCAGGTGGTACGCTCGCTGCGCTTTGATGGAACCAAGATCCCTGAGGGTTACGAGCAACGTGTGCAGCGTGCACTGTGGACCTTCAAGCATCAGGTGAGACACACAGAGTGCTGGACCTGCGCAGACTTCTCTCAAACTGCAAGTGGGCGCCGATTTGCGCTGCTCCCATGTGCATGCAGCGGGTGTACTGTCCCCGGCGCCACGCAGTCGTGCCCCTGCATGAGATTGCGGATGGCGACTTGGCGGCAGGGGCACGGGTGCCATCAGCAATGCAGGTACATTTTGGTTTGCCCGTATTCTGCCCTGGTGGTGCCGCTCGACCTTGCTTTTGCGCAGGCGCTGCCGTGCTGTTGCACCAGTAGAGTCGCCTGCCCTGCCTGCAGCTAGCAAGCAACGAGCCTGACTTCCTGGGCCCAGCCCTGCCGGACGACATAGCGCAGGCCATCGCGATTGGTGGGTTGTGGTTGAGTGTCGCGTTGGATCGCACACAGCAAGGACAGCTGTTTGCTGAACATCCCACCTGTTTAGCGTCGTCACCGCCACCTCATGTTTCCAACTCTGTGCCCGCTGCCCTCCCTTGCAGGTGACCTGGACCCCATCACTAAGCTGCCGTTTGGCGAAGACCTGGAGCCTGCCACTGCGCCGCTGGCAGATGCAGGGGCAGGCAGCGGCAGCGATCAGTCGGCGGCAGCCGCCGCTGGCTTGCGCCAAGCACCCTTGGGGCGGCATCAGAAGAACGGGCGCAACAGCAAGAGCGGCGGGCTGAAGCCAGGACCTGCCAATGGCGGCAACACCCTGGCCAACTACAAGGGCTTCCTGTGTGGCCTGCCCACGCAAGCTGCTGCAGCAGGGTTTCGGCTGCCGCGGGCAAACAGCTGTCATGCTGGCTCACAAGACAGCAGTAAAGCAGCGCCACGCCAACAGAAGGAGCAGCAGCAAGACCAGGTGTCGCCCCCGGAGCGGGATTCCCAGCAGCGGCCGGCACCTGATTCACCGCAGGCGGTTGGGCAGCCTGCGGCAGATGCTGGCGACACGCTGGCCAGCCCCACAGAGGAGCAGTGGGCGTCGTTCCGGCGGGAGGTGTCGCGGCGGCAGCGGGGCAGCAGCCGGGCAATGGTTGCGGGAGCGCCTGCTGGAGGTGTGTCAGCAAAGCCTGCAGTACTCACAACGAGCAGCTTCTTTACGGCGCAGCCTGGTCTCGCAGGCGTGCACAGGCCACTTGGCGCTGCTGTGCAGGGTGGCACCCTGCTGGCGCAGCTTAAGGCAGCGCTGCAGCCAGAGCCTACCATTGATGCGCTGCTAAGCGGGTGGGCATGGCCACCAATGGCTGGCAGTCCTTGGAAGCCGGGTGGCAGACCTGTGTACCGAATGCATGCCACTGTATTGTCGTTAGTGCTGCTTAACGTAAGAGCTTGCTGACTCGCTGTTTTGGCTCCTAAATGAGTGCAGTGATGGGCCGTCACCTTCCTCTCCTCCAGCAGCTGGCAGCCAGGATGGGGCCGAGGGCAAAGGTCGGCAGCCAAGACGTCAGATGGCAGGCGGCACCAGAGCGCGCTTTGTGGTGCCTCACCGCCTGCACCAGCCGGAGCAGGAGCAGCAGCAGCCTAAGACCCCGCTCGACCTGGGCCTAAGGTCCTCGCCCACCATAGACGACGTGCTGGGCAGCAGCGGTGCCAACCTGCGGGAGGATGACCAACAGCCGGTCTCTCTGGCTGGCTGCCAGCTGGTTCAGCCACAGGCTAGTGCACGGGTGTGGCTACCACAGCATGATGTGCCACCGCTGCAGCAGAAGCCGGTGGAGCTGCTGGACCTCATCTCCCCAGCTGGTCCCACTGTCCTGCAACAGCAGCAGTGGCAGCAGGAACAGCAGCGTGACGAGGGTGGCATTACCCCAGGTAGGGCCTGCTTTCCCCAGCTCCTTGCATGTTTCAGCAGAGCAACTGTGCAGTGCTGCTTTGAGCGCTGCTGATCGGGCTTGGTGCTGCGACACTGTCCATGTTTGAGCACCCACAGTCCCACCCTGTGTCCTGCTGCTGACAGGCTTCTACATAGCTGGCAGCAGCGAGGCAGGCAGTGGAGCGCGGCAGCTGACCGGCTTGCTGCGCCGGCTGCCAGCTGTCGCGCCCAGCAGCGTCAGCCCCCCTCGTGCAGCACAGCAGCAGCAGCAGCAGCTGACCTGTACGGTTGGCGGCGGCGGCAGTGCCCCTTTGCCGCCCATTTTTGACCCTGCTGGCCCGGGCGCTGTGGGCTCTGCCGACTTCGACCCAATTGCCAGCCTGAGCCATGTCGCAGCTTTCCAGGGGGAGGCCGAGGCGGCAGTGGAGCGAGCGGCAAGGTCTGCCCTGGCAGCTGCAACACACAAGACGCTGAGGCCCCTGTCGCCACCGCCACACTTGCAGGGCCGCGGTACCGCTGCTTCGTTCCCATCTCCTTCCAGCGCAGCAGACAGCGATGGCGGCAGCAGCGATGCTCAGTGGCAGCCCCCTGCTGCAAATGTGTCCAAACGAACGCTGCTGGGGCTTGCCGGGCGTGTGGCCGCTGAGAAGGAGAACCGACAAGGTTTGCTGCCTGTTGGCAGCAAGCGGCAGAAGAACAGCAGCCTGGCCACCAACCCCTTTGCTTCCTTTGTTTTTGGCAAGAGCTAATTCCTCACAACTGGCGACAAACTTTAGCATGACACACAGGTGATGCGGGGAGAAGAAAAATGAAAAGAAGAAAAATGCACGACAAAGGGCTGATGACCAGAACAGTGGGCGATCCATCATTGCACGTCGCATCAGTAGCATTTTCGGTGCAGGTGTGCAAGGATCACAACAATTAGGGCTGTACAAGGGAAGGGAAACACGCCAGTCAGGTTCATTTGTGGGGCAATAGGCCCCCTGGACAAGGCTTCAAGTGCTGGAGGAGAGCTCCTTTGCAGGCCGCCCAGCCGCATTTCTGCTGCCGGGGAATGCAAAAATCCATTGCAAGATGCGCACGCGCTGCTGTATCATGGCGGAATCACAGCGGGGGCAGTGCACGGCGGCAAGTGGGGCCTGCACAAGGGGCAGCGGCGTGGGCAGGCAGCGATGTCAGGTGCTATCACCTTAAGCTTTCTGACAGCGATGGGTGTGGCGCCTGGCTGGCGCACTGCGGCACACAGGAAGCAAGGGTGCGTGGCAGCTTACAGTCATGTTTGTAGCTCAGCCAGCGCTCCAGGCAGGAACGGTGGAAGACGTGGGTGCAGGGTGTCACGGCGCGGTCGCTCTTGTCAGACACATCCACCTGCAGCAGGGGCAGGGGTGGCAGGCGTGGGGGGGTCGGGTGCAGGACAGCGTGCACGCATCGACGACCAACACAGCAGCCCATGCTTGCTGCTGCCTGTCGCATCATCCCCAACACACCTGGGCCATGCAAATCACGCATTCCCTGCTCCCCTCGCTGGTCTCAATGTCGTTGGCGGCAGCAATACTGCCGCCGTAGGGCTTGGGCACTGGGCGGCTGTAGTCGTACCGACGAGGTAGCAGCTGCACAAGGGGTAGGGCCGAAGGAGGTGATGCGCTGATCAGTGGAGTGCTTGTTGCATGCGGCATTCACCACCCTTATTGGCAAGGCTGGCAGGTAAACTGCACATCTGTGCGGCGCCCACAGTGTTTCTCGCCTGCTTTGGGATGAAGCAGCGCGGCCCCCACCAGTGCTGTGCCAGCAGCAGCCCGCACTGCAGCCCCACGTAGGCCACCAGGCCAGCGCAGAGCGTCAGGTTGGGCTGCACTCTCAGCAGGTTGGAGGGGCAGGCGTAGACATACAGCGGCAGCGCCAGGCGCGCCACGCTCGTCCCCAGCACAAACTCGGGCTTCAGGGGCTGGCGGCAGTCGGAGCGCACGCACAGCACAATCTGGGGCCACCAGTAGGAGAAGAAGGCAAACATGAGCAGCGGCATTCGCCTGCAGGCCAGGGGGGGCGGGGGCAAGGGGCAAATGGAGCATGGCAGGGAAACCCCCAAGCGGGTGAGACTCCACGCCCCAACTGTCAGCTGAGCCTGCTGCATGCTGACTCGCTGCGGCGGCACCAGCTCAGGCAGCTCAGGCATCTAGGTTGCCGCGGCGCCGCACCTCTGCAGCTGGTACGTGAGCAGGATGCCGCCCAGCAGTGCCGCATAGAAGCGCGCATACAGCACCGACACCTCGCGCTGCGCAGTCCAGGGGTCCACGCCGCCGCGCCGCGCGCGCCACACTGACAGCAGGAACCGCATCTCGAAAATGGCAAAGACCACTGCGGGAGTGGCAAGGTATGCGCGTGTGTGCATGAGACGGGGAATGCTGCTGGCGCGCCGCCCTAGGTGCAATGCAGGCCGGACGGCAGCCCACTGGCGGGGGGGCGGGTGAGCATTCGCGCTGGCTGCGACGGCTCACCAAACTGCATGAATGCCACGGTGCCAAAGCTGTGGAACAAGCTCTCAATCATAATGCCCAGCGTGAGGTGCACCAGGCACAAGTAGGCATCCAGCACCGCCTGCAGCGGCGGCAACAACAAGATGGCCAATGGTTGCACACGCCTTCAGTGCCAACGCGGGATATAGGAGCCGCTGGCGGGGAGTGACTTGGCCAGGGCAGCTCACTGTGCCGTGGCACCCCCACAAACGGCATGCTCCGAATTACACGTGTGCGCCCCCCAGCGCCACCCGCCGCAGCGCACCTGATGCGCCAGAGTGAGCAGCGAGACGCGTGAGGCGAGGGCGGGTGTGGAGCAGGCCTCCATCTGTCGCACCAGCAGCAGCACTTGCAGGAAGCCCAGGGCTGTGATCATCAGTGTGTAGTTCACCTGTGGAAGGGGGCGCAGAGGCAGGCCAGAGGTGCGTGTGTGTGTGGAGGGGGGCCAACTGTGAGGGGTTGAGAGAGCAGCGTGCGGGCGCAGCAGGAGAGGCAAGGGAGAGGCAAAGGAGAGCTGCCCTGCATCACCCACGCCTTCCACCTCTGCACATGCACCCCGCCTCCTCCTCCCCCCGCAACTCACCGCCTTGTTGTAATACTCCTCCACGTGGGCGGTGGCCAGGCTGAGCGACAGGCGCATGCCACAGCTGCGGCTGACCAGAGTGCCGTTGAGCAGCACATCCACCTGGCTGCCCCCGCCGCCATCCCCCTCCTCCAGCGCTGCCTGACGCCGGCTGCCCCGCATCATGTGCTGCCGCAGCGCCGAGGGGCCGCCCCCGAGCCGCTCCTGGCTGCCGCCGCTGCGGTCCTGAGCCAGCCCCTGACGCGCGCCGCCTTCCCCGTGCGCCGCCGCGGGTCTCACCCTGAGGTCCAGCATGAACTCGCACACCTGCCAGGCGCGGGTCTCTTCAAAGGCGTCTGAGGGGTCTGTGGGGTCTGCCAGGTCGCCAGTCACATCCGACGCCTCTAGCTGTCCCTTGCTGGCCATGGCCGCCACGCGGCGTGCCGCCGCCCGTAGCAGCTCGTCGCGCTGAACCAGCTCCACCCGCCCCGCCTGCCGCCTGCCTCGCCGCCCGCGACCCTGCTGCTGCTGGGGGTAGGGCGCTAAAGGCATCCGAATCGGCTGCGCAGGCTCTACCACCGCCATGAGCCTGCCTGCGGCTGGCACGTGCACACCCTGCAGAGCGGGGGGCAGATGGAGGGCCACAATGAGCATGGCGGGAAAATGCAGGCTCACACAATACTAAGGCAGTTAAGCACTACCCTACACAACATATTCGGTGTACTGAAGAAAAATCCCCCACACAATGCACCCCTCCCCTGCTCCGTCGCCCACCTGCAGGCGGAACATGGTGTCCCCAGACGACACATACTGCCCATCCCGCAGCACCATCTCGCCCTCTACGTTGAACACGCCACCCTGCACCACAGCAGCACCGGCGGGCACGGCAGCGGCATCTGTTTGAATCGCTGGCAGGAGAGGTGTGGAGCGGAAGAGGCACCCCAACTTGTGCCCACTTCCTTGCAAACAACCCTCCAAGCACGCATAAGCAGGGCCAAGTCAAGGGGAGGCAGCCTCCGCAGTGTCAAGCAGTGGCTGTGGAGGCATCCGCTGGCATAAGAACGAGTGGCAACAGCTTACAGCACCCTACCTCGGGCTTGCCCAGGTTGCGCAGCTTGAGCACTGCGATGCCGCTGCTCTGCAGCAGCAGCCCCAACTCTGACAGCTCCTCCGGCCATGCCAGCTTCTGCCAGTCGCCCTTGTGCGTGGCGGTGATGTTCACTGGCTCGGGACGCCTGCGTGGCCCAGCGCGGCTGTGGCTGGCCAGCGCGCGGTGTGGCCCACCGCCGTCGACGGCATACTGGGCGGCCACAAACCTGCCACCATGGGCTGCCGCCGCATGCTCGGCTGCCCCTGATGCGTTGGACCAGGTGTATAGCCCCAGGAACAACAGCAGCAGCAGCCCCAGGGGCCTCCCATGTCCTGCTGGCATGTGGTGTTCCCCCTTCGGCGTTCAGGTCTCAGACATGCTGGCCTCTTTGCAACGCGCAGCTGCTGCTGGAGGGTCCAGGGTCAGGTGGGAGGGTGGTGAGTGCCCCAGCGGGCGGGAAGGAGGTGGGGGAGAGGGGCAGGGGAAAGGTGTGCTTGTTCGACCTGCTCCGATACCGCCCTAGATGGATGCCACGCACGGGGCGCACGTTTGGATCATCAATGGGGCCCAGAAAATGGGGTCTGCCACGCGGGCCCACGCCGGTCCACGTGAGACTCCCCCCTGTTCTCTCAGCGATCTGAACATTTGCAATGCACCACGGCCCTATCTGCAGGCGAAAGCAAAAGAAACGCTCTCCCAGCAGCAAGAAACATGGCGGCAGACGGCCCCTCCGTGCAGCCATTGCATGTTGAGTATGACCCCGTCACGGGTGAGAATTGCTGATGGCGACCCGGCGGCCCAGCGCCGCCGCGCAGCCTGGCCGGCTTCATCGCTGGTGACGAACAGGCGGGGCTGCGGTTGCCGCCACAGTGTGGCCCACTGCACGAGCGTGATGGGGCTGGCCTCGCCTCTGCAGGCGTGCCCTCCGAGTTCAACGACTTCCTGCCCAAGGACTGTGACGAGTACAAGCGGTGGAAGGCTTCCCAGGAGGCCGGCGTGTCGGGGGCAATGGCAGGGCTGACAGTGGCGAGCGGCGAGGGCGGTGCGGCGGTGGGAGCAGCAGCAGCAGCGCCGGCACAAGAGAAGAAGCAGAGCAGTAAGAAGAAGAAATCCAAGCCAGAGGTCGGTGACATGATGTGGCAGCAGCGGTCAGGTGGAGCGGAGGCCGGTGCTAAACCACCCTGCTGTGTAGTGGGTTGCCTGCGTGACAGGCGCGCCGCTGGCGATACCCACACGCCGTGCAGGTCGTGCTAGAGCGCAACACGCGCAACAAGAAGAAGTGCATCACCACCATCAGCGGGCTGGACATGTTTGGCGTCAAGCTCGGCGAGGCCAGCAAGCTGTTTGGCAAGAAGTTTGCCAGTGGCGCGTCGGTGGTGAAGAATGCAGAGGGCAAGGAGCACATAGATGTGCAGGTGAGGGCTTGCGCGTGGCAAGGGGGAAGGGGGCCTGCACTTTTGTGAAATGTCGCCTGTGGGTGTCGCATGCGCGAGGGGGCTCACCTGTGCGCCTGCCCGCCGGCCTGCCCGCAGGGCGACTGTTTGGACCAGGCTGCAGAGCTGATCATCAAACAGTACAAGGAGGTGACAAAGCAGGTGTGTGCCGGTCCATGCCCTGCTGCCCACGCTGAAATCCACTGGTGCATCATCATCAACAAGGGCGATCCTTCATGTGCAGGACATTTATTACATCGAGAGCAAAAAAAAGGAGCGCTACTACGATGATGAAGCGTAGGGGGTTGCTCTTTCCAATGGTCTGCTGTTGGACGCGCAGGCTATATGTTGGCTCCATATTGCGGCATCAATGCAAGATGCTGAGAATAGTGTGAAGGCTTTGGGGCAGATGGCCACTTGGGGGGCCAGGTGGGCCAGGTGGGGCACCCGCATAGCATAGACAACAGGGAGGGGGGTACTGTATGTGTTTTGGGGGGTGGGGGCAACATCTTGTGAAAGGGACATCAAACTAGCTGGGCTGGCTGCAACTTCTTTGGCTATGGCATCGGTGTGTGCTGCACACTATGGGGCGCGGTGCGAGGGGCGGCCAGGGAAGCACGCTGCTAATGGCTCCGGATGTTGGCCAGGCCAGGCTCAGAGGCGACTCGGTAGACAGCGCCACAGATGTGCCTGCACACAGGGAAGCGAGTATGGGTGAGAAGGGGGAGACCAGCTCAGCTGCTGCTGCCCTTCTGCCATTGCCAAAGGCGTGCAGGTTGCACACATCGAGTTGTATCACTCTGCAGTCGCACTCACCCCTCCGCATCCATACGCGGCACAGCCTTGACTTGCTTCCAGTGGTGCGCGGGGGTGGGGCGCGCGCTGGCCACAAAGCTGAGCAGCTCGCCAGGCAGCGGGTGCTCCCCACGGATGACCCACCCGTGAGTGCCGGGCGAATGGCAAAGTGTGGCGTCGTGGCTGGCAAACAGAGTGCCTGCACGACAGGATATTGCACTCCTCACCCACCAGCCACAACATCAAAGAGCAAGCAGGCAGGATACCCAGCTCAACAGCAGCAGCGTGCCGCAACCAGCGAAGACCAGTGGGGCTCACCCGCTGGGAAGGGCGTGGCAGTGGGGTTGCAGCCATCCAGCTTCTGCGGGTCGGTGCCAAACACCAGCCGGTTGTCCTCTGCAAGCCCCGCAGGACAGCACGTCACGTCACAATGTGCAACAGTTGGGCACAACAAGATGCCTCTGCCTGGAGACAGAGGTTGCTAGGACTTGCCAGAACATACCCGTGACGCCCCAGAACAGCGGCTGCACGCCTGCAGCGTCCCGCGCCGCCCACACACGCCTGGTGACGGCGTCATACACCACAAAGGCAAAACTGCCCTGCAGGTAATCGAACGAGGCATGGGTAGATGACATGCACGGCCTTTTCCCTCTCTAAGCCAAGCACCACAGCTAGGAGGAAGCAGCGCCACCCACCTGCACTTGTGCGAGCGCCCTCAGCGCCGCTTCGCTGATGTCGTCCAGCTTGGCGAACCCGCTCTCGCCGCTGAAAGAGTCGTAAAACTTGATCAGCCAATCTGGTGACATGAAATGAATGAATAAAGCTTCAGCACAAGAGTGAGATGGCAGACAAGGGTAGGCGGACTGCCTACAGCTCCACAGATGTGGGGCTCACCCCAGAACGCTTGCCCACCTGCGTCATCCTCTACCGGCAGCGGCTCCCCCCTGACAAAGGAGTCGTGGTGCTCCTGCACCTGGTCGTGGCCCGGCCAGGCTGTGTGCAAGGGCGCGGAGAGAGAGCACCATGTCAATAATCACGGGAGGCTGACACTTTGGAATGCTGCCCATGGGTGCTGAGCTGAAGCTGCTCTCCCTCCCTGCCCTTCGGCTTGCTGACCTGCTATTTCGCCCGCAAACACAGCACACACGTTTTTTCGAATCACGGCGTGGCAGTATGGAGAGCTGCAGGCGGCAGGGGCTGGCGCAGTCATCACAGGCTGCACAATCACAGCAGCAGCCCTGCAGGTGATGCAGAGGCAACAAGAAGTGGCAGCAGCATCATGCGAGGCGCACCGCTCGAACACGCATCCCACCGCGCCATCCAGGGTCAGCTGCTCGCGGTGCCGTGCGTCGCAGCTCGCAAACACGTCCTCCATTGCGCTTTTGCAGGCGGCCTTGCGCACCTCCTGACCCTCAGCATCAAACAGGTCCTGCGGGTGACTAGTGTTTGAAAAGGATCAGACCAAGAGCGGGCAGGCGGGAGTAGGGCAAGAAGGAAGAGTGGAGAGAAAGAGTTTACCTCGTGTGGCAGCTCTCGGAACTCAAGCCCAACCGGAGGGCGGGCCAGAAGCTCCGGCGCGGTGAAGAAAAAGGTGTGCAGAGCCATCTTGGTGCTGTTTTTGGAGCGCGGTGGTGTGAAGCGACGCAAGTGGGCTGCAATTGCAGGGCAGATAGAGTTGAACGGCGGTGGCGTGGGGTACTAGCTCCGCCTCCTGCATTTGGCGGAGCCGCCGCGGCCTGCTTTTGGCGGAGACGCCGCCGCGGCGGTAGCGACGTCCCGCCACCAGCAGCCGGCCAAACCCGAAGCCGGCAGTTCGCGCAGGCTTTGTTACAAGTGCGAGCAACTTACGGCGGGGTGTTTTCGCCGGCAATAGCTGGGGTCGCAGGGTTTCCGTGTCGGAGATTGTGCGCGCGCGTGCCGGTGCTGCTCTGATTGGGCGCAAAGCAACCAAAAGGACAGACGAATGGCGATGCGGGGAGCGGGGCGCTCTCCTACAGTGATCCGAACCGAGCTGGCCACAGGGCGCACCGCTGGCGCAGGCGCCTCTTGCTCCAACAATGCGGGCAACTTGCATGCACAGTCAGGGCATCCCAACGTGTAGGGCCTAGCGCACAACGTAGTGAAGTTCAGGTGGCAGGAGGGCACGTTGCGCTAGCTGCGCAGCACGCCGGTTGCGCCGGCACAGCTCCGACAGCTCATCCACCCCTTGCTGCACAAGCCGCTCGTTGTTCACTGTCATGCCATCGGCCACCACCTTCTGGCAGGCGCCCATGAAGCGCTGCTTGTCGCCCGAGGTGGCCGCGTCGTCGGGGATGGCAGCCAGCGCCTCGCCCACCCACTGCAGCCCGTTCTGGTTGGTCACCTGCGGCCAGACAGCCAGATGCGGGGCAAGAAAGGCGGGCAGGGCATCGGCATGCAGGTAAACCACATCAGCCATGCGCTGCCTGCCCACCCGCCGGGCGCCCTCATGCCTGCAGCCCCCCCCCCCCC